GCCACGGGAGGGAAGGGCAGGGAGGGAGGAGGGAGGGAGGAGCGCGGGTGAGGGAAAGGGAGGAAAGGAAGGGAGGGAGAGGAGGGATGCGGATGGGGAAAAGCAGATGAAGAGGGTGGGGGGGGGGGAGACGGGGAGAGAAGGGAGATAGAAGATGGGAGAAAATGAGGACGGGGAGGGGAGATAGGGGAGGGAGGAAGAAAAGTGGAAGGGGAGAACTGAGGGGAAGAGGAAAGGGAGGGATGGGGATGGGGAAGAGGAGGAAAGGAAGGGAGGGAGAGGAGGGATGCGGATGGGGAAAAGCAGATGAAGAGGGGGGGGGGGGAAGACGGGGAGAGAAGGGAGATAGAAGATGGGAGAAAATGAGGACGGGGAGGGGAGATAGGGGAGGGAGGAAGAAAAGTGGAAGGGGAGAAAGAGAAGGGGAAGGGGAGAGAGGGAGATCACAAACCGAAATGACAAACAAAGTGACGAAAATGAGAATCCTTACCACAAGATCCGATAAAACAAATCAATTCAGGCGATAAAAGTAAACAGGACGGAATGGCGGCGCAAAAAAATCAATACATATACATATACAAGATTAAATAAAATTAAAACTCAAAAGTATATATCCTTATCCTCATTAACGTTCAATACACGACTACTAATAATACTGCCATAAGCATCACGAAACTCAGCAATCACTCTTTTACATAAAAGGCACTGCAAACGCATTACAAATTTCAAATAACTCCGAACATCAACAAAACACTGTTTGCGAACGCTGGAATTCTAAACGCAATGCCAATGTTTATAATACTGAGTGCTTCATTATTCTCAGTAATGTTAGCAACAGCGACGTTAATAAGCAGTTGCATGATAACAGGAAGAAATATTTCACTGAACCGCGACTGGCAAGAAGACTGCCACGACTGCAAAGCGACATTAGAAACGCCATTAAGATCAAGGACTATAAATGATCTCTCCTATAAGGAAATCAAAACACGCGCGTGCAAATTTCGACGCGGGACGAGCTCTCGCGTTTGCTATCCTTTTTTTTTCTTCTTTTTTTTTTCTCCACCCCCCCCCTCCCTCTCAAACCCCCTTCCCTTCCCCACTGCCCTTTGGTTTGTGGCGAAATATGGATTTTCTCTTGTTCATCTTCGCTCGACTCTTTGACAGCCTCGACCCCGTAAAGCAGGTCCCTCTCCACCCACTTCTGAGGCTAGAGGATAGAAAGAGGTCTGGAGAGGTGGGGGAGGCGGGGGGAGGAGGGGGAGTTGTGTCTGTGGCTAGAATGAACTCTCAAAAGGATAGGCTTAGGATGGGTTTGCGATAGACATGGGATAGGCTTAGGATGGGTTTGCGGTAGACTTGGGATAGGCTTAGGATGGGTTTGCGATAGACATGGGATAGGCTTAGGATAGGCTTAGAATAAGCTTGGGATATGTTTGGGATAGATTTCGGAGGCTTGGTATAGGCTTGGAATAAGCTTGGGATAGGTTTGGAGTGCATCTTCAGCGAGCTAATGAACGAGGGTTTAACCGTTTTGCCTGAACGAGCTGCAGGAGGTTAAGCTCAGTGCATTTGTGAAGTACCATTGTCAGAGCAGCTGGAATACCCTCACCCCACCCCCCCATCCCTACCTTACCCTTACCCCTATCCTTGCCTTTCCCTTACCTCCCTTATTCTACCCTTACCCCCTTTATTCCCCTTACCCTACACTTTACCCTATCCTTACCCTGCCTTTCCCCTTCCCTTACCCACTTCACCCTACCTTTAGCCTTACCCTCCCCTTACCCTCCCCTTACCCTCATCCTCCCCTTACCCCCTTACCACCCCTAATCCACCAGCCCCCTCCCCCCTCAACACACCGGCGACGTGCTGCCTTTTTCATTTATTACGACTGTTGTTGCATACGGTTTATTGCAACATGCGAGACTGGCAGAGGACTGTTCATGGGGAAAAAAAATAGCCCCCGGACGCGCTGAAATGTCAAAGAGGACGCTGTTGATTTTGTTGCAGCGCGCGTTACTGCCCGGAGCTTGTCGCGAGGGGCTGGGTGACTGGATGGGTGACTGGATGAGAGAGTGACTGGATGAGGGACTGGATGGGTGACTGGATGAGAGAGTGACTGGATGAGGGACTGATTGGTTGACAGGATGTGTGAGTGACTGGATGAGGGACTGGTTGGTTGACAGGATGTGTGAGAGACTGGATGAGGGACTGATTGGGTGACAGGATGTGTGAGTGACTGGATGAGGGACTGATTGGGTGACAGGATGTGTGAGTGACTGGATGAGGGACTGATTGGGTGACTGGATGAGTGAGCGAAAGAGTGAGTGGATGGGTGAGTGACTGGGTGATTAGATGTGTGACTGCCTGGTGACTGGATGAGTGAGTGACTGGGTGAGTGACTGATTAGGTGACTGAATGAGTGAACGACTGGATAACTGGATGGATTGAGTAACTGGGTGGCTGGATGGGTGAGTGACTGGGTGACTGACTGGGGACTGAGTCAAACCTGTGTCTAAATGTTCTAAGAAAAGCCACTCGAGAATTATGAAAGAACAATAAAATAATCAATTTAACATGCAATTAATAAATGCAAAAGTAGATAAACAATATTCCAATCGGCCCATTTATTCACTTCCTCCTTGCAATGACAAAGCGCCTCGAAAAGCAACTCATAACAAATTGCAATAATTTCGACGTCAATGAAGTAAAGTGCTTTTGCAACAATAAAAAAAATAATAATTGATTGAGAAAATAACAGATGAATGCCTTTGCCTGCCCACCTAAGGTAATTATAGATAATTACCTTATCATAAAAAAAATGAAGAAAGAAAGAACTTGTTACCAGTACTTACAAATAAATAACTTGTTGCAAAAACTTATAAAGAGATACCTTGTTACAAATACTTACAAGGAAATAACGCATTCCAAATACTTAAAAAATAAATAACGTTACAAATACTTATAAATAAATAACTCGAAGTAAAGATTAAAAAAGAGATACCTTGTTAAGAATACTTATGAAGGAACTTAAACATATTAAACATATTCCCACCTACATCAGCGAGAGGATGAGCTAACCCAGTTTCTTTGTCGTCCTCGGTACTGGTGATCTACCCGTGACATTTATACTGGTGCTATTTTCAGCTCAATTGTTAATTTATCTAACCTTTCGTTGCTGCTTTCTATCTCGCTATTGCTCTCTTTCTCTTTCTCCTTCCCTCTCTCTCTCCTTTTTACTTTCTTACTTTCCCTTCTTTCTTTCATTCCCTCCCTCTCTCCCTTCCATCCTCCCTCCCTCCCTCCCTCCCTTACTCCATCACCCTTCCCTTCCGTCCGTCCGTCCGTCAATTCGTCCGTTCGTTCGTCCGTTCGTTCGTCCGTCCGTCCGTCCGTCCCTCCCTCTCTCCATCCCACCCACCCACCCATCCTCCTTCCTTCCATCCTTCCATCCCTCCCTCTCCCCTTCCCTCCCCCCTACACTATCCTAATTCACTAAATCCTTGCATTAACCTCTCTCCTTCCTCCCTCTCTCCTATCTTCCATCTCCCCTTCCCTCCCTCCTTCCTCATCTCCCTCCTCCCCCCCCTCTCCCCTTCCCCCCACTCCCCGAGACCCGCCCCTTCCTCTCCTCCTCCTTCCACGCGATGCAATTCCAAAGACAAGCATTTAAATCGCATCACTCCCACTCGCGGGCGGATCTGCAACCCTGCTGGCATTCCTTCGTCAGCCACGTCAGGAATGCGGGGCGTGATATTGTTCGGTATCTGCGTGTGTGTGTGCCTCTTGTGTATGGATTTGTTACAAATTCAGATGGTCGCACAGGCCGATATGTGTTTGTGTACATACGTACGCACGTAGCTATGTACGTATGTATGTATGTATGTACGTAGGCATATGTATGTGTGTATATGTATGTGTATATATATATATGTATATATATGTGTATATATATATATATATATATATATATATATATATATATATATATATATATATATATATATATATATATGTATATATGTATATATGTATATATGTATATATGTATATATGTATATATGTATATATGTATATATGTATATATATATATATATATATATATATATATATATATATATATATATATATATATAAACATATACATATACATATACATATATGTATATATATGCATATACGCATGCGTGCATACATGTTATGTATATATATATATATATATATATATATATATATATATATATATATATATATATATATATATATATATATATATATATATATATGTATATATTCATATACGCATGTGTGTGTATACATGTATGTCTGTCCTTTTCCAATTTTCTTCTTTTCTTCTTTTTTACATTCATTTACCGCCCCAATCATTTTTCCCCCCAGAAGGATAATAAGAAAATAAGAAACAATCCCTCACAGAAATCTCGCTTACTTACTAATCCCTAAACCTCCTACCTAACGTCACTCCTTGAATACACAAGACAGAACTCACCTCTCGGGCGCGGCGGCTCGGGCAGGCAGCGGGAAAGGGCGGCCGGTGGGACCTCCGGGCGAGCGACGCGGGACCGGGAGCTAGACCGGATGGGGGGGAGGGGGGGAAGGTGGGAGGGGTAAGCGAACCGGTCATTCTCCCGGTCCAAAGGGGTCGCTTCACTCGCCCTCCTCCCTCCCCCCCCCATGTTTTTTTTTCTTTCTTTCTTTCTTTGAGGGGGGGGGGGAGGTGAGGGGAGGGTGACTGATTCCAGGAAAATACGAGCGTCCAATGGGAGATAAAGTTTCAGAGAGAATAAAAAAAAAGCACGTGACACAAAACTGTCATCAGGACAAATGTTCAGCTTTTTTTCAAGATTCACGTATTTTCTTCTTTTCTATCCTTCCTTTCTCTCAATCCTGCTTCTCATTTCTATTACATAAAAATCCTGTCACATCTACTGACACATTTTTTTTTTTTCCCAATTTCAAAAGCGGAAAAAAAATTGCACTCATACCTGTATTTCTTTATCTTTTCTTTTGCAAATCTCTTTACACTGAAAGGGAAAAAAAAGCGAAATGTAAGTCGACTGTGCCTCAGTTTCCCATTCCATAGGGCCAGTCCCGTAAGCCAAACCAGACTCCGCGCGCTGTCTTTATGTTGCACGGCCTTAACAAGAGTCTTCAAGGGATCTCTCGTTCCTTGCAAGAAAGATAAAGGTCTCTCCAAGCTTGAACAATACACATACAAAAGGATATACGTCTGTTTCCAATCTTGAACAACATATAAAAAGGGAATACGTTTGTTTCCAAGCTTCAGCATACGAAGGAAATGCATGTTGTTTGTTGACGATGCCGCTGTAGTCTCATACTACCAAGGACTCAATATTAACATGGTGTCACATTAACAAGGACGCGACTAACCAATACATGACGGAGATACCCATTTTTTTAAAGATAACAATATTAATAAATTAATAAACAAAACTCAAATTCCAAGGAAATCAAAGAAAGATAAAAAAAACACACACACAAAACAACCCGCCTAACCACAAATGACATCGCCTGGAATGCAACTGGTTGCATCTCTTCGCAAGCCCTAATAAATAAGTAAAAAAGAAAAAAAAATGCTCCAACGAACAGGCCAGTCACTGACATATCGCTGCACAGATAACAGACCGACTCTAAGCTTTGATAAACATCTCAACACTATTGATCGCCATTTTACCTCCACGTGAGATGTAAACTTCCCAGCGTTCTCTAATCAGGTGCAAATACCAGGTTACTGAAGATACAATTCGAATAAAAAAAAATGAATAATCACTCGAATAAAAAAGGAATAAAATGCGATTCTTGAAATGCATCGGGACACGAATGTCAACCGTGAGCAAGGGGACGTCATTTTCGAAATTAGATTTTCGATTATCATTTATCATCGGCAGGTAAGAAGTGTGCTTTTGTGCTTGCATATATTATTAACTTCAAACTCCCTACGACAGGATATAAGAAGGCTGTTAAAGACCGGAGGACTAAGAAATGGAAGACTCAATTTCACACCGGCTGCTGGCGTCACCTTGCTTAATACGAGTGACCCAATTCCCAAGAGACATTCCTTCGACGTGACGCGCTCCCCGGGCCGACCCATCTACCCACCTACCCACCCTCCCTCCCTCCATCCTTCCCCTTTTTTTTCTTTACTTCACATTATCTTTCTCTTTCTCTTTCATTCTCGTTCACTTTCTCTTTCTCTTTCTCTCTCTCTCTCTCTCAAAGTAAAGCCACAGATAACCTTTCCGTTTTTCTGATTCGCTTCCGACCCGCCCTTACTCACACACGCGAACAAAATACCCACCCTCACCCACCCACAAGCGATATACCCGCCCCCTCGCCCCCACACGCCCACAAAATACCCACTCCGGCTCGAGGTCTCATTCCCACGCGGCGGCCCCCACGGAGTCTGGTCACGGCACCGTCAGTTATACACGAGGAATACTTTACTCCTAACTCCATTCTAACTTGTGGCTTAACTTTGAGGGCGTGTGGTCGCGGCATCGCCAAGTGGGCGGGCGGGAACGATGTCAACAGCCGCTTGTTAAGTGGCCTAAACTATCTCGCTTTTCTTCTATCTCGTTTTTTATATCCACTTCTCTGTGGCTCTTCCTTCGTTCGCTCTCTCTTTTTTGTCTTTCCTTCCTCTCTTTCTTTCTTTCTATTTTTCATTCTATAATTCTTTCCTTCTTCCTTCCTTCCTCCTTCCCTGCCTCCTTCATTTTCTTTCATTTTTCTTTATTTCTTCCTACCCCCCTTGCTTCCTTCTTCCCTGCCTCCCTCATTTTCTTTCCCTTTTCTTCCTCCTTTCCCCCAGTCATTCATTCATCCATTCATTCATTCACTCCTCTCTCCTCCCTCCTTCCTTTCTTCCTCTTCCATTTCCCGTCGTACCATGTCCTATTCTCCGCGTGGCACTCTAGTTGCAGTGCCCCTATACCTACTCCTCTCCTTCCTCTCCCCATCCCCCTCTGCCTATGCATTCTCCCTACTCCCCACTCCCCATTCCCCATTCCCCTTTCCCCCTTCCCCTCTCCCCTCTTCCCGCGCCTTATGTTGTCCGTTATTGCTCTCAAAGACAAGTGTTCACACGTGAAATTGCTGCGTATGCTCTTCCTCCCCTCCTCTCTCTTATTCTCCTCGCTTCGCCCCCTCCAAAATGCCATTTTCGCCTCTACCTAAATCTTCCTTTTCTTCAATCCGATATTTGATTCCCCGTCGTATCTTTTTATGGAAATTCTTTCTTTAACTTTCGTGCTCTTTCATTTCCTTTGCTTTCTTCTTCTTCTTTTTTTCTATTCATTATACCACTTCTCTTTCCTCCTCCTTCTCCTCATTCTTTAATTTTTTATTATCTTATCTTCTTTGATATTTCCATTTTCTTTCCCTTCCGTTCTTTATCTTCCTCCCTTACCCTCCCGTTCATTCCCTTTTCTCCCCTCCTCTCCCCTCTTGTCCCATCCCCTCCCTCCCCTCCCCCTCCCCTCCCCTCCCATCCTCTACCTCCTCCCCCTCCCTCCTCATCTTCCCTCTCCTCCCCTCCCTTACTTCCCCAGCTGTGCCCTCCGCTCCCCTTCCCTTCCCTTCCCTTCCCTTCCCTTCCCTCTCCTCCCATCCCTTATTTCCCCACCTGTGCCCTCCGCTCCCCTTCCCTTCCCTTCCCTCCCCTCTCCTTTCCTTCCCTTCCCTCCATTCCCTCCCCTTCCCTTCCCTTCCCTCCATTCCCTCCGATTCCCTCCCTCTCCGCCATTCGCCAGCCCGAAGTGCCACGCAGGAGTAACCAAATCCTAAAACTCCTTTAATGAGGTAATCACATGCATGGCTCCCCCCATTACCTTCTTTCGAACCCCTATTGGAAGTCCCGCGTAAGCCATCTCCCAGCCAAAGGACGGGGGAGGGGGGAGGGGTAAGGGGAAGGGGGAAGGGAGAGGGGAAGAGAAGGACTAAGGGTGGGATGGGGCGGGGGAGGGGGAAAGGAAGAGGGGTGGTTGGGAGGATGAGGCGGAAGGGAGCGGGGAAGAGAAAGAGGGGGTTGGGATGGGGAGAGGGGAAGAGGGGAAAGAAAGAGGTGGGGGGGGGGGGGGTTGAGAGAGAAAGAGGGGAGGATTGGAATGGGCGGGGCGGGGGAGGGAGGGGGGGAGGAATTCCCTCATTAATAGACTGCCTTTCTTATCTCGCATCGCAGCGCTCCGTCTTTCCCCTCAAATGTTCCCCTCCTCCTCTCTCCTTCTGCTTTCCTCTCCCCTTCTCCGATTCCTGTATCCTTACAATATACATATGCACGTACATGTGTATGTGCATGTAAGTACACTCACACGCAATATATTAATCGATGTCTTTCCCTGTCTCTCTCCCTCCCCCATCCCTCCGTCTCCACCTCCCTCTCCATCTTTCTCTCCCTGCTCCTACCCCTTACCCTCTCTCCGTCCCCCACTCCTTCTCCTATTCACTTTCCTTCCTTTTCCTTCTCCCTCTTTCTCTTACTTTCCCTCTCTTTCTCTAATTCCTGCGTTCACACCCCACTCCATTCTTACCCCTCCTTTCCTCCTCTTTCTCCTTCTCCCGCTGATTCTTCCTCTCCTTCTTCTCCCACTCCTTCTCCTTTTCCTTCTCCTTCTCCTTCTCCTTCTCCTTCTCCTTCTCCTCCTTCTCCTCCTCCCTCTCCCTCTCCATCTCTATTTTCCATTTCTCCCACAAACATAAAACAAAATTCACGTTCATTCCCGCAACTACAAAAAAAAGACCCATAAGAAAACAGAATAATGAAAAACCGACCGTAATAAAGGCACAACTATAAACCGGTGGAATTAACAGCAAAATAAAGTTAAAACCCCGGGCCGGCAAATGGCATTAACGGGGCATTTTACAAACTCATTCTAGATGTGGAATGGCGGTAGGGGAGAGATGGCAGCGGAAGAGGGAGAGGGAGAGGGAGAGGGAATGAGTGAGAGAGTGAGAGAGAGAGAGAGAGAGAGAGAGAGAGAGAGAGAGAGAGAGAGAGAGAGAGAGAGAGAGAGAGAGAGAGAGAGAGAGAGAGAGAGGGAGGGAGGGAGGGAGGGAGAGAGGGAGGGAGGGAGGGAGTGAGGAAGGAAGAGAGGGAGGGAGGGAGGGAGGAAGGAAGGGAGGGAGGGAGAGAGAGGGAGAGAGAAAGAGAGCAAAGAAAGAAAGAGTAAAAACAGAACCAGATGAAAAATAAGGAATAAAATTAAATACGAAATAAAACCTATAAAAACGATTAAAACTACATACAGGATGATAAATGAAAGGTAAAAGCGTGATGGAATATATAAAATGGCGGGGCTGCACGAAGGGGAGAGAAATATCTTCTATTTCCCAGGAGGCAGCAACCGTGGTGGTTCACATGGCCACCAACCGGAGAGAAGATAGGGTAGGAGCGAAAAAGAGGGAGGATAGAGTGGCAGGAGACTAATAAAGTATGGGGGATCAAAGAAAAAGGAACAGATGAAAAGGAGTCCACACACACACACAGACACACACACACACACACACACACACACACACACACACACACACACACACAACACACACACACACACACACACACACACACACACACACACACACACACACACACACACATACAGATATACTCGTACTCACGCACACATAAACACACACATTATATAAACATACAGCGATAGAATTAACGCCATTACTAGTAACAGGTTTAAGTAACGCTGTCACTTTTTTGTAACGATGGTGGCAATGATGTTACATTTTCTTTTTTACAATTTTCGGTCATTACTCTTACTCGTTATCCGTTCCTATATAAATATAAATTGTTTTCACAGTAAAGATATACAGTTCGTCTCAGAGCTGACTTCTTTTGAGTCCACTCGTACGAGAAATGAAGATCAGACCAGGCATAGAAAATAATTTAAAAAATAGGAAAAAAAGGACGACAAAAATAAAAGAGAACAAAGAAAACAAGTAACGTAACAGAGACAAAAAAAATAAAGAATAAGAAAGAGAAACGAAGAGCGAAAGG